ATTATATTCCATCTTCTAAATAACGACACACCGATCCACACGACGAATAATGCAATAATGAACAACGGTGTCCATAATGCGTGCTTCCATATTTAGTTGGCTGCTGAACTGAGATTGGTTTTATGGTCGATCAATACTCTTTTCAAATTAAGAAATGATAACCTTTTATTGTGAAACCATGAAGCGAAAACTGTAAATTCGAGATTTATTTATTTGATTTTAGCCATTGTAATTGTCATCTAAATATTTTTGCAGGATAACTCTTAAAAACCTGTCTGGTTAAAATTAAATAGTGTTTTGACATTAGGTATGGGTGTTGCACTTAACGTAATTACTTTTCTTTATTTCATGAGAGTATTTAAACCCATATAAGTACATATTCGATGTAATTCACCAGGTGTAAAAGTATTATCTGGCAAATTAATAATCCATTCAGTTTTCGAATGCACTTTAACCTTTGGTGACTGAAACCCAGTCACCAAAGGTTACCAAAAAGGTGCCAAAAATAGACATAACGACCAGAGCATAATAAGGTCAGAGAACATACACTTCAGAAATACTCATGTACTGAAACAAACAGGGTGATGAAATAGGAATATCATTTTGAACCAGAAAGCTCTGCGATACAAAGCCCAAATGATACCAATCAGTCGTGTGTTTGAGGGAAGAAGAACACGAGAACAATACTTCAATTCTGGGTAATTCTGGGACCACCATAGTAAGTTAATTCTTTATTCACTATGTTTATTTTTTTTCAAGGACAAAACACAAGCACTAAAGGAATATCTTTGAGGCGCTCTCAGAGCGGTGCCTGAGTGAAAGTAGCGATTCACATTGGATTGGAATCGCTGAAGATTGAATCCATTTGGAAAAACGTTCTCAGGAAGTTTATTCCACATAAACGCAGTTCTCCAAATGGAATAGTTCTTAAACAGTGAACTTGGAGGTGTACTGAGTTGAAAAGTGGTGGAAATACGCCAGTCCGTCGCGTATTTCTGATATGTACCGCTCTTGGTGGCATCAAATGCGTCACTTCCCGTGAAAATATCTATAGCAAAGCTCCATACATGAGAACAATACTCCAAAGATGGTCTGATCTGAGCTTTATAAAGCTTCAAAAGTTGCTGAGGTGTGTACAGTTTTCTGGTTCGGAACAGTGTTCCACGCTTTTGAGAAGCAGCCTTTGCAATTCCAGTGAAATGATTATGCCAAGACATATTGGTGTCCATGTTAACCACCAACAAACTTATCGAAGTAGAAAGCGGAATTGTCTGATCTGACATGATTATATCCGATTCGGAGACATTTATCTTCTTAGAGAAAACCGAGGCTTGGGTTTTTGTGGCACTAAATCGAACCTGGTTACTTCGCTTCTAGATCTTCATTAAGATTTGAAACCTTCCACTGCCAGTGAAGATATGCCTTCGTAGCCGATGTCCTGGAATCCAAATTAAATTACGAGATAAGAAATATATTGGATTTTTGATTTTTTCCAATAAGTCGTTGATATAAAATAAAAAAAGTGGAGACAATATGGATCTTTCAGGAAGCGGAAGAGCCATATACAGAAATGATCCGACACTTCCAATGGAGTCTATGTTTGCTTACAAAAAAATTATTACTGAGGAAGCCAACTATAGCTCTCGCTAGAACTTACAAAGTTTTTTTCTTTATCAAATGAATCGTGAATATCGTTGACATATTCATCAGAAAGGTGAAACTTCGTGAGAGTTTGGTGCTTCCGTCAGAGGTTGAGTCATGTTTGAAGATCATCAGTGTTATTATTATTTTCTCATAAGCTTGTCGCTCACTTGTCTGGCACAGCACAGCACGGCGCAGTCCGTCGCCTGATAGCGACGGGTAGTAGCATCGCCCACTTGTCCAGCTACAACCAGACTACTGAAGGCGATGTTTTTTCTTTTTCAAGGAAATTTTACTTGAAAATTTTTCTCGTCCATTTTCATAGGTACCGTCTGACAATGTGCTGTCAACTGATGGAGTAGCAAAACAGAAAGACTGAAACTTCCCAGGCACTTTTGGACAAGTTGATGCTGACCGGCACTGAGCAGCGACAGACCCTCTTGGCCCTGTGCCGTGGCGGGCAAGTGGGCGGTTGTCTATTCATTTTTTTGTTCCAAACCTATCCGTATTTTGATTGGAAGTGCCGTGCTGTGCTGTGCCGGTCAAGTGGGCGATAAGCTTTAATAGTCAGTTAGTTCAGCGCATGTTTGGCAATACAGTGATCATCACCCGTTTAAAGTTACATTTTCAGATGATTCAACAACAAGCTTTGCACGCACTGGTTATCATCAGTCTTAAACGTTAGTTGAAGTTCCAGAAAGTCACACACGTTTTTGCTACCTTTCGAGCATTCACTACAAAGTAAAAAGTGAGGATTTTTTCAGCAAAAGATCTACAAACACAAGACGAGATAGACTGTACGGAATCATTCAATCCAGAGCGGTCAGGAGTATTGATTCTGCTATTTTTCTGCTCTCGAAGAGTATTCAACAAAAACCCCAAGAAATCGGAACAATCCTCTTGTTGTCCTAACGAGTATCTAGTGGACTTCGAAGACCCCAGGAAATCGGTTGATGGTGGAAAAGATGATACATTCTTACGAAACTGCAACTGCTATCTCACATACGCACTGATGTTCAAAAATGCTGATAGACTAGACTTTTATTTTCAGATGAATCAAGATGCTAGTACTGTTAATCTACCTTCTTCTCATGGTCTCAAAGAGCACTGACGAAAACTGCTCAGTAAAATGAACAGAAGCTTTTGGTATACGTTTCGTTGGCAACCCACAAAGTACGTTGCGTGTTTCCGAGAAATGGAATATCAAGCATAATTTAACATACGAAAGCCTTATGGACCCCATTGAGTGTTAATGGAAAACAACCTGAGAGACTTGTTAAGAAAATGTTTTCAAAAAATTATTGCAAACTTTCAGTGCTTACTGTGAAGAATGGAGTTTCAATTCAGGTCAAACTATTAATCTATAAAAACTATATTCGAATTATATAAGTACTTAACTACAACTTTTTTGTTCAGATCTATCCCCTCTCTTCCTATCAGCCATTTTCTCATATTGTTTTCTTTTTTTCGATTGATTCTACAAGCTTAATCGTTAAATTGGCAGAGGCAAATCGAATTTTTGGAAATGTTTTAATTCAGTATAATTTGAAGCAATTAGCTGAAATTGTAAAGAACCTTCAAGTATACCGGCTGACTGTTTAGACGCTCCCTTTGTTTAAACAAGTTTGAACAAAATTAATGACTTGGCTCAACTGCTTCGATGTTTCGTGAATTTAAAAGTGGTACAAAACATTAGAGGTTGGTTTAAACGGAAATGGTGGCATAAAATGTCCCTATTTTATTTGAATATCTTACACATTCAACGAATACCTTCCATTCCAAAGAAGTTGATTTCGCTCTCACCGTCTGTTCTATCCAAACATTGAACTGAAAGGAGAGAGAATGTGATAAATGAAGTCAAAAAAAATGGAAAGATGAACAGTTTCGATTTGATTTTAGTCCATTCTAGTTTTCGGATTTTTACGATATGTATTGAAATCTGAAAAGAATATACATCACCTTCAACTTTTAAAACTTTCGAAACTTCAAATCTTATATGTCTCAGATAGGAACGTATTTATATTCATTTATGAGAAATTTTTTTTAACTGGAATATTTTTGTCAAATCAATCAATATTCTTCTATATTTTATATCATGTTAATGCAGGCTATAGACCGAGCTTTAGATCGCTTTGCCTTCCGTGGCAAACTAAAACATATTTTTTTTGCTAATTCCAGAGCATATTTTGAAAATTTTGTTAAGTAGGTACCATTGAATTAGGTACATTTATTTCGATGTGATCGTATTGCATTACATGCTAAGTACTTATGCTGGCAGTCCTTATCCTTATCCTTTCTATAGGATAATAGGAGGTAATATATTATAAGTAATGAAATGCTTTATTCAAATAGGATACATCCTAATATTCAACAATGATAATAATGTTGAAATTAATATATATATCAACACAATAATAGAAAAAAGATCTACTGATATTTGTTGATAAGTAGTCTTACCTACGATAATTGAAAATACAAAAAAAAAATACCTAATAGTTTTCTTTTGAACAGAATAAGACTGTTAGAAGACTTTACATTTTCAGGTAGAATGTTATACTTAATAAATCCTTTAAAAATTAATGCTCTAGTGTCAAACGTTTTTGTTTGATTATTTACATACTAATTATTTCTTATTCCAGTATTATACTGATGGATTTGATTATTAAAAATTACAAATTTGTCAAAATATGAAGGTAGAAGGTTATACAACATTTTGTAAATATAAATCATCGTTAAATATGTAAGCCTACTTTCTATAGATAACCATTCTAGAGTATTTAACATTAAACATATATGGGTACTCCTCTGTCACATCTCAAAATAATCCTCATTGCGCGATTCTGTAGTTATTGTAGTGTTCTCATTTTATTTAAATACATGAATTTAATATACCAAGTATCGATAATTATTAGGAATCAATGCTGTGACAATGAGTAAAAATTGCTTTGGGCAATTATTGAAATTATACAACATAATGCGTTCTATTTTATTTTTCTTCATCTAAGTGTTTGTAATACAAGTAACACACCTTTAAGGGAGAACCCTATAAAAACTTATGAATCAAAACAAGAACTATCTACATAATTTCATTTGAAATTGTAGCTTGATACTTGTCATCCAAGGCAAACGGGGGGAAATACAACAGAAACAAATGTCAAAATCTAAAATTGGGAACCAGCGCAGTAATTGATGGATTATCCAAAGCATCTGTATCGGCAGATGAATCAACAAACACAACAAGACATCGATCCATTCACTAAATTCCAACAAGGGTTGAAATCACCCCACTTCAATCCAAAACTAATATTCTTTGAAAATGTATTGTCTAATGGTTTCTATTTTAAGGCCTGTTTACTCACCCGCCGTACTGAATGTAATCCGAATTTTTGAAAGCAACACTCACTTCCACTAACAGAACTTTTGTCAAACACAGATGACACTGATTTGGTCATAATCAGAAAAGTTCGGATATTCAACAAACAGATATGATAAATGAATGAAGCGACGTCTCCCTTTTATCTAGTTTAAACACTTATCGTTCACAACATTCGCCCTATCTTTTTCATCGTACCAAAACCCCCATTTCTCACTAAATCACCAAATGTTCCAAAAAAAATTCACTCTTAAGAGTTCTCACGAACGACGGAAATACACTAATTCTAAGATAAACCCGACAACAGTCTTCAATCGTTTTGAAGTTTACTTATACAACCGCGTCGATTGTTTTCCCTATACAGTTTCACGGATTCCCGAAGAAACGCTTTAAAAATTAACGCGTGGCACTGACGACGAGTTTGGAGTCTCAACACGCCTGGACGAGAATCGAGGACCTCCTCTTTCGCTTCTCCCGTCAGAACGCGGTGGTGCCAGATTGTGGAGATCCGTCGTGTGTTCACATACATTTTGTTAGACATTAGAGGTGTACAGGGTGAGTCAACAAGCCTCGATCCATTGCTATCAGGGAAAACAATGTTTTGAGTTGCGCAATTTTGTTTCGCAGTTTTCGATAAATACTATCTTTTAAAAGTATTTTCTCGCATACTGAGTGATTCAGCCGAACGTGGCCAACCAAAGTTATATTTTTTTAAATGGAACACCCAGGTTATGTATACGTCATTCGATTCCATATTTTTTTAGTTCTCTGAAGAATTTTTGTTTTCAAATTTTCATTGTGGCATCGCTAAGTTATTTCAGAAAAATCTGATTGCAGACAATATTACTTCAATTCACCACCCGCATGTCTACAGCAATTAAGTGTATTTTTTTAGGAGTAGTTAGTCAACATCACTATGATGATTACGGAAATCGCAACTTTCAGAAACAATATATAGGGAGCTCGGTAAAACCTGTCAAGTTCTATTCATTTTCAACCAGACATATTAACTTTTTCAAATAAAACACTCTTTATTTTTTCATTTGTATAAAATGTTTCAACATTCCACTACATTTTTTATCAGAGGTATACTATACGAAAAACATATATTTTACAAATTATAACCAATTTTATTAATTGTTGTAACCACAAAAATTAATTTATTTACATTCACTCACTCAAAATTTTTTCAATATAAACAATAACGCCTATTTTTTTTATTGAATATGTCTGCAACACAATGACGGTCTTTTTTTAAACGAATTCTCTACACGTTCCAGCATATCCTCTGGGATTTCCCTTAATGCTCTAGTGATTCTTCGTTTCCTGTCTTCTATAAATGTTGGAGGAGTTTGGATGGACAATCCATTTGATATACTCCCATACAAAAATCCTTTTTGGTCAGGTCAGGTGATCCGGATGACCCCTACCTATCTATTTTTGATTGAAATGATCGTCGAGGTATTCCCGTATCTCAGTTTAAAAATGTGGTGGTACACCGTCTTGTTGTAGCCACCTTCTACGCCTTGTTCCATATATAAGCCCTCCAATAAATTCGAAAACTCATGCCGAAGAAATCATACGCATTTTCTTCCAGTGACATGTCCACCAAAAAATACGGACCAATAACTCTTTTTCAGAGAATTCCATCCGAAACATTCAGTGACCAACGCTGTTGATGATTCAGGCAACGAACAAAATTAGGGAGTTTTCCGCTGCATAATAATGCATGTTATGCCGATCCACAGTTCCATTTTTACGAAAAGTCGCTTCATCAGACAATAACACGAAATCGGAAAAATCTTTTCTAAGCCCCATCGGCAAAATCGAACACGTTTTTCAAAATCTCTTCCTCCTTACTCTTGCATCAATTGCATGTGGTAAGGATGAAATTTGCTTACTCGAATCATTCGAGACACGTTGGTTTGAGAAAATCCTAATTCCCTGCTCAGGTCTCAGGTACTCACATAGGGATTTTCAACAAGGTGACAGAGCAATTTGAAATGTATTCTCTTCATTTGTTACTGGGCAGACACGTTCAAACTTGTCGTGATTGACATTACCAGTTCCTTCAAATCTTGTTTTTAGAGCCTGAAATGCCCTTCCATTTTTTTGGTTGTCTTCTTTCGGGGAACTTTTTTTTGTGAATCCTAGATGCAAGGAGGCAGTTTTCGTCACTTTCCATCAAAGCATAGACCATTTGCACCATATCTTCCAATACATAATTCATAATGAAAATGATTCAAACTATACTCGAAAGAAACTTCAACACATGGCGTTATTGACAAATTCCGAGATTCAATTTTTGATGTCAGTCATGGATAACCGAGTTTTTAAAGAAAAAAGCAGTATAAATATTTTTTAAGTTTTTTATGCACTTCTTACCGTTTAACCACTATACTAGCGTTGTGCTAGCGATTAGTTTGAATATTCGAAAAACAAATTTGAGTAAGTGAACGTAAGTAAATACATATTTTTTTGGGTTACAACAATTACTAAAACTTGGTATAACTTGAAAAATATCAGTTTTTCGTATAGTATACCTCTAATGAAAAATGTAGTGAAATGTTGAAACATTTCATACAAATAAAAAAATACAGGGTGTCCCATTTGAAAACGTTGAATTATGTCTGTTTGAAAATGAATGAAAATTGACCGTTTTACCGTGCACCCTATATATTGATTCCAGAAATTATCATAGTGATGTTCCAAAAAAAATCCACTTACTTGCGGTAGACATGCGGGTGGTGAATTAAAAAAATATTGTCTACAAAATATGTTCTTTTGGAATAACTTGGCAATGCCGCAATGAAAATTCGAAAACATAAATTCATTAGAGACCTGAAAAATATGGAATTGAATGATGTATTCATATACTGGGTGTTCTATTCAAAAAAATATAACTTTGGTATGCCACGCTCGGCTGAATCACTCAGTATGCAAGAAAATAATTTTAAATGATACTATTTATCGATATAACTGCAAAAAAATTTAAACAGTTCAAAAATTGTTTCCTCTGATAGCAATAGACCGAGGAAATCTTGTTGATTCACCTTGTACTTTTGAGGAATTACAAGGATCACAGGAAGAAAAATATTAACAATTTAAATCGGAAGGAATAACCTAAGACTCTACAATTTGAAGGTGACGATGGACAAGAAAAAATATAACTATTTGAAGAAGAGTCTTTATAATGAATAGTCATAAGAGTCGACCAAAACGCCTAGGAATTTGTTATGGCTGGATTATCGAATAGTTTTATTCAGTGCAAGTTTTCATATTCGTATTCATAATTGAGACAACGAATGAATACACATGCGTCATCATTTACTCTGTATGCAGACGATATATCCATAGTTATTTTTTATAAAGAAGAAAAATGTAATCAATTCTCTCATGAATCACATAAACGAATGGTTCGATGACAATAACTACTTAATTTTTTTTCAAAATCGACAAAGGAAATGTAAAATATAATTGGGATTTATCATCAAGCTCAATAATTATTCCATTATCGGAGCATTAGACAGTGCCACTCTCAGTTTGAGGTTGAAATTTTTATTTGCTATAAAAAAAGTATTTACTTCAAAATATGAAATACCCAGTTTATTAGTTGTGAAAACTAATATTGAAATCACATCTTTTCAATGAACTTTATGTAAGCTGTTGAACGATAGTAATGCGTCATCAATTGGTTTCAACAATTAGGAAATTGCCAACGACTCAGCTCAAGCGCAAACGTTAACTGATGTGTCTTCGTTGTCATTTGTAGAAGAAAACATGACTTGTGTGGCATCCACAGACGGGTACTTGAACTAACCATCAGCCACAACAGAAGAGAGGGTTAATTAAAACGTTTGTTGAGAAAACAGGATGTATCTCCGAACCTGAGAGTCTTCCTGAGGAACTCAATCACCTAAAGAATGCCTTCAAAAGAAATTGGTACAGCGAAGGAGAATTCGAGCTGGCCATACGACCCAGGAGAGAGATCGCCAACGTAACCCCAGCTAGGCGGTCAAGGAAAAAGCTTTCCTTCTTTTTGTTAAAAATGTTATAGACCGGATTGGGGTAATCTTAGAGAAACACGACGTGAAACCAATAATTAGGCCAACAAAACCTATCAGACAAAGTCTAATGTCAGCTAAAACATAAAAACCTGCAGATCACGGTTAAAAACCCGTAAAATAGGTTTCACACGTATTTTAATTATGATCCATGTGTATTCTTTTGAGGTACCAACTGTAAGTAGATTCCATGTATGTTAAAAAAATAACAACTTCCTAACTGCTACTGACAAGACTTTTTGGCAGCGGTTACCTAAAAAATATAATTTTGTTGGTTACATATGAAACAGGATGGATGTGTCGTTTATTCGTCTTTGGTTAATCAACTGCAATTTTTTTATTTTGAGTGATCATCTTCAAGAGAAAGATTAAACTTCCTCTTAAAGACGATCACTTGGTGATCGAAACACGTGTCGAGGTGTTAAAATAACGGTTTGATGTTGGAAAAAACTCCAGTAATATCCATTACTACACCAAAGGTTCCAAAAAGTATATCACGAGTGTAAATCATGTTCAATGGATCGAAATTAATATCGCATTGACTACAGTGGGTATTATAATTTTCACACATCAAATTTATAGGAGACACTTCTCCAAGGTTGGATCTAGTAAAGATCCTACCTTGGGGTATAGAAATTATCTATCTGTCTATGTGTAGTAGCTTGAGGTACGTTGAAGTTAATTTGTTCTAGTATAAGGAGGGTGCATTAATGGAACAATGCAAAATTTTGTATAACATATCAATACTTGATGAAACTCTACGTTGCTCCAGACCGAATCTTTGAAGTAGTGTGGAGTAGTCAGTTTCTCCAGTAGGGTACACGCCATCAGTTCTGAATGCAGAGACAGTTCTGAATACTCTAACTTGGAGCGAACAAGAGATGTATAAAGTATGGTTAAGGCGGTAATATTGGTGAATGATTTACAGTTGCGCAGAACAAAGCCAAGCATTTTTTCAGCCGATGCCGCGACAGTATTGTTGTGGCCAACAAATGTCAACCTGCTGTTGAACGTCTCCCCTAGATCTTTGACAGCTTCTTCGCGAAGGAGTATTTCACCCTCGAAAGTATAAAAATACTCAACAATATTGGCATTAGCTGTAAAGGAGCAAACTTTGCACTTCTTAACATTCATTGCCAATTTATTCATTTGACCATCAGGTCTAATTTGAGACTGGAGATAAGAGCAGCTCTCTAAACTTGTGATAGATGAAAAGATCTTCAAGTCGTCTGCAAAAAGTATAAGTTGCCACAAGAAATCTTGGAGGTGAGATCATTTATGAAGATGAGGAAAAGCAGATGTCCCAGATTGGAGCCTTGTGGCATACCGGATGGCGATAAGTATGGTGCAGACGC